TGTGTGTGTGTGTGTGTGTGTGTGTGTGTGTGTGTGTGGAGGTGTGCGTGGACATGTATCTCAAGGGACAGAGTGATGGCTAATGTTGAACCCTTGAGTGTGTGGGAGAGGCTCTGTACTGTGTATGTCGCAGGCGCTAGTGACGATCGCAGCACAATTTCTGGCATTAACTGCCTTAACTCCTCAATTAGACCCACAGAGCAGGAACTTCAATGTTCCAAGTGCCCCTTTGTTTCCCAAAGTGGGTATATGGGTGGGAGGGGGTTCGATGCCTGGCTTCTGTTTTAGAAGGTCCCAGGATCTGGGGATCTGCAGATTCTCAAGGGTGCACTCACTTACAGGCAGGTCACTTGGCAAAGATCAGGATATCTGGGCTCTCTGCTCTCTGGTTTGGCCCTGCTTCTTTGATGTGCTCCACCAGCTCAGTGCTGCTGTCACTGCCAGGTTATGGGGTCTTGCTGCAGCTGGAGATTTCAAGGTGGTCACGTCAGTAGGAATCGGGGTAAACAGACTTTCTGTTTTCTGGTTTGGCCCTGATTAGACTTATACTGTAGGGCTGATGTGCCCCGCCAGCTCAGTGCTGCTCCGCCGCCAGGTTAGAAAGTCCCGTTGTAACTGGAGACTGGGTTGCTGGTCCAGATGTTTTCTGGGAAGTCCTGGGGTCTCTTCACTGTGCTCTCCCAGTGCCTGGTGTGCCTAGCTAGTGTGGCATTTCTGTCTGGTTTTGGTGAGTATATAGCGTATTTTCTGTCACTGTGGGATTGGGCAGGCCGTACTGTCAGTGATGGCGCTCCTGTGGAGCTAGTATGGCGTCTAGCAGACTTGGGCCCTGGGAGAATGGTGCAGCCACCGTGCAGATCTGGGACTCCGAGATGGGTACTGCTGGCCCCTGCAGCTAAAGGGCTTGGAGCTCCGCCACAGCCGCTGCAGACCCCAGGCAATTACGTCTGCGCAGAGAGAGATGATTCCACTGTGCCAAGGAGGAGGAATGCAGTCTGGGGGAGAGGAGTGCCGCGAGATCAAATATCATTTCTCACCTCCCCCAAACAAGTCTCTGGGTGACCCGAGACCAAAGTTTTCGCCTCCTGCGATGTTCCCTGTTGTTTAGGAAGCCTCACCGTTGTTTTCCTGGGTTAGAGGTCCTTCCATGCACCAACTCAGATGGTTAGCAATTCCACAGCTCAGAAACTGTGTGTGCTAGTCGCCATCTTGGCTCCGCCCATCTAAATAGGCCTTTTTAAAAAATATATATTTTTATTTTTATTGATTACAGTTTATTCACTTTGTATTCCTCCTGTACCTCCCTTCCTCCTCCCCTCCCAATCCCACCCACTCTCTTGCCTACCCATGTCCCTCTCTCAGTCTACTGATAAGGGAGGTCCTCCTTTCCTTCCCTCTGATCCTAGTCAATTAGGTCTCATTAGGAATGGCTGCATTGTCTTCTTCTGTGGCCTGATAAGGCTGATACCCCCTCAGGGGGAGGTGATCAAAAAACAGGCCAAGCAGTTCCTGTCAGAGACAGTCCCTGTCCCCATTACTATGGAACACACTGATATACTGAACTGCCATAGGCTACCTCTGTACAGGGGTTCCAGGCCGTCTCCATGAGTGGTCCTTGGCTGGAGTATCAGTCTCAGAAAAGACCCCTGTGCCCAGACTTTTTGGATCTGTTGCTCTCCTTGTGGAGCTCATGTCCTCTCCAGGTCTTACTATCAGCCAACCACAGAGGGCCTCTGAAAGGCTTTACCCTGCAGGGTATTGAGGCAGATGCTGAGACTCATAACCAGACTTTGGGCAGAGAACAGGGAATCTTATGAAACAGGCCTTTTTTTTGCTATATGAAGTTTGAAAGAACAGCACAAGATAAGAAATAAATGTTTATGTTTCTGAGTTAATCACTTAAGTAGTAATTACATTTACAAATCTTCATGTGTATTGAAAACAAAATCGAAGCATAAAATAATGAAATTATGGATATTCATCTGGAAAGAATATAGACAAATTTGACATCTGTGAATAGGAGACTAGAAATTTTGAGAAATATTGTTTTGAAATATCTATGCTTACTCTGTTATCACTTTTTCATAGTGAAATTAGTAGAAAAATCTGTGTGGTCATAACCCAGTCATAAAATGGGAAATACTCATATCAACACAGTACAGTGCCTTTTCATCAGCCTTTATCATAATTTTTTGCTGTTGTTGTTGTCATCAGGAAATAACCATAGGGCCTTGTGAATGTTAACTAATGGTTATGTTTAATTGTGAAATGAAGAGGACAAAATGAGCATGAACTATAATATTATTGATTAGATCATATGAAAAATGAAAGTGTATCACTTAAAACACTCATATACCTAAAGACCAACGAGGATAAACTCTAGGTATGATTTTCTTTCCTGGAAACATTGATTTTCAATTTTCATGTACTATTTAAATCCAGCAAATAGATCCTCCTCCCTCTCTTTATTTCTGGTACTTATGAGGTGCTAAGAAGTTAACTGACCCCAGGTTAACAATTTATTCAAATACAGAGAATTAATTATTTGTCCAAATATTCACAAAGCTAAAGCAAACAATAAGGATGATAATGTTCTTTCTCTCTGCTCAGAATCAGTATTTCTATGCATCTTCCTACCCTCTCCCTCTGTGTCTTTATCTCACCCTATTATAAGTGGTCTTCTTTTTTGATCTGCATATTCAAGTTGTGTGAAATTCAACTCCCTGCCCTACTTCTCCAGTGGCAATGTGAGAGAACTTCAGTGAAATACAAGTGAAAGGCTTCTTCTATTATTAACACAGGAGAGTCACAATCTTTTTAGCTAAGGTCTGGGTTTTGAGTACACTTTCAATTTTCTGTTGTAATTCAATTGTTTATTACTGCAAACCCCCATGGGAATTGAGAAGGTACATACATTATGATTCCTTTTCTTATTATCATTTATTCAATTTGTATCCTGGTTGTGGCATCCTCTCTCATCTTCTAATCCCATCCCCCATCCTCTTCTCCCCCATGGTCCTCCCCTAGTCCACCTATAGAGGAGGTCCTCCTCTCCTTCTATTTGACCCTAGCCTATCAAGTCTCATCAGGACTGGTTGCATTGTTTCTCTCTGTGGCCTGGCAAGGCTGAACTCCCCCAGAGGGAGGTGATCAGAGAGCCTGTCACTGAGTTCATGCCAGAGAAAGCCCCTGCTTTACTTACTAGGGACCCCACTTGGATAATGAGTCTATGGGCTACATCTGAGCTGGGGTTTTAGGTCTTTTCAATGCATTGTCCTTGGTTGCAATATCAGTCTCTGCAGGGCTCCTGGGTCTCAGTTTTGTTTGTTTGTTTTTGTATTTGTTAATCTACTTTTGGAGCTCCTGTTTCTTCCAGGTCTTTCTATCTCTACCTTCCTTCATAAAATTTCATGCCCTCTACCCAAAGTTTGGCTATGACTTTCATACTCTGCTTCCACACCATGATCAGTAGAATCTTTCAGAGGCCCTCTGTGGTAGGCTCCTGTCCTGTTCTGTCTCTTCTCCTACTTCCAATGTCTCTCACATTTGTCCTTCTGAATG